ACGAAGGTCTACCCAGGCCCTGACTCGGGTCTGCATCCTCAGGTCACCTGCTAGAACGGTGGCACTCACATTCACAGGAAAGGCCCGACTGCTGGGAGGGGCCCTGGCTGTGTGCATGTGTAAACTCGCTATCTCAGTGCTAAGGGATTCTGGGCACCAACGCTCATTCTTTTTTTTAAAAAAATTATTATTACTTTTTTTTAGAGACAGGGTCTCAAACTCCTGGGCTCAAGTCATTCTCCTGCCTCAGCCTCCCGAGTAGCTGGGACTGCAGGCGTGCGCCCCTGCACCTGCCGACACTCAGTCGTCAGGACAGACTCCACCCTCTGGTGTGACCCTGAGGACAGGCCCCTACACGCCCTCTTAGAACTGCCGCGTATTTCAAGGAGCAATAGCTGATCATTCCATGATTGAAACAGGACTCCTCAGCATTCTGTTCTAAGAGGCCTCCTTGGAAGAACTCCCAGTCCTGGGATGGTGGCCCACGCAGAAGGCTGGACTGTTAATGTCCTCGGGGCACGTTTCCTTAAGAGGTATAGGCTGAAATGTTTGACCCCTCCCTCCACTTCCCCTACAATACACCACGCAGGGTGAGCAGCTCTCCTCCTCCCAAACTTGGCTCACAGGGCGTGCAGGGGCCCCGAAGAATGGCTCCAATTACCCTTCCCCACCCACGTCTCAAACAGGATCTTTTCCTGCTCTCCTCCCTCCCCCGTCAGCACCCCACCTCCAGCTCCTCCCAGGTAGGTGCCTATTCTTCCTTCATGCCCAGACGGGGGCCGGGGAGACCTGCGTCTGAACCCCAGCTCTGCCACTGATGACTCTGTGTCTTGCTGTCTCTAGCTGAGAAAATGGGAATACAAGCACCTGCCTTAAAGGGCTGAAGAGGGATTAGGGGTAATATTCCTGGCAGGCCCCAGCAGAGTGGGGACTCTGTCGGTGCTCAGTCCCCGGAGCAGCAGCACTGTTGCCATGACCTGACCTGTCCTGTCCTGGGGTCGTCTGTGCGCCTCTCCTCCCCACACTCAGGGATGCCAAGCGCAGTGCAGGCACCGTGGTCATTTCAGTGACTCTCCCCATCACCCCCTCTGCTTGGCCTCAGGTGGGTGGAGGTGGTGGAGGGAGGAATTGGGGGAGGGGAGGTGAGGCAATGAAGGGGGAGCCTAGATTCGAAAGAAGAATGTGGGGTCTCCCTGACTTCCTGCTGTGTACAAAGGTGCAGGAGTAGGTAGAGCCCAAATCAAATTGCCCAGTACGGTTTCTAAGCTTTTGTTGTTGCTGCCACCAGAAAGCGAAATTTCAGTTTTCTACTCTAGGGCTGCATGAGGGAAGATAAAATAAGAGTCGCAACATAAGGAAAACGTGCCGACGTCTGCACCGAGGACCAGGTCTGCGTGCCCTACTCGCTGGCTCGCGGGAGGAGCGCGCACATCTGCGAACGAGCAATGCTTTCCCACCGTGCTGAGCCTGGGAGCCGCTAGAAACCCGGATCCATGCTCTGGCACTGCCCTGGAGGGACGAGGAGGAGGAAGACGCTGCTCTCTACGAGAAGTCTCTGACCTGTTTGACGTCACGTCTCCTCAACAGGGTCTGGCCATGCCCAGTGTGACCAGAACAAAAACGGGAAAGGTGGACCCTGGCAGGAAGGGTGTAAGCTTTCACATTGGAAAAAATAAGCCCTATCTAGTAAAATGCTCATGTATGACTTTTCCTGTGTTCAGATTCGGGTTTTCAACTTCTTTTGAGAAACTGAAGAAGACTCCCGTATCTCCCCTCTGCCAAGAATCCCTGTCGCAGTAACAGCAGCTCACGCTGGGTGCTTACTGCATGCCTGGCACTGCTCTAAGATCTTTAAAAATAAACATTTACTTAATTCTCACCCAACCCGTGGAGAGAGAAGCTAGCCCTCCGTCCATCGTGCGGAAGCTCGGCGTCCCAGGCTGTGAGGGGAGGGCTGGGATCCCACCGGGACTTCCCTACAGGTAACCTCTCTTCCTTGTATTTCCTACCAGCGAGGAGGATTTTTGTCAAGTTTACTTTCTTCAGTTTATACTACTTACAAAAATTTTCCTTTAAGTATAAAATTTTAATACAGAATGTGCTTTTTCAAATTAAACGAGTTCCTAGAGATTCTGACACAACCTTCCTGGTTAGAAATCTTGAATTAGGCATCAGAGATTCTCTGTAACAAAATGCAGAGAACACAATTGGCCTGCACCTTTCTCTTTGGACTCTTGCAGTTCTGTCTATATTTTAAGGGTCTGAGAAAAACACTGTCAAAGAAGTTAAGAGAAAACTTAAAAACATTCTTGAAAACCCAAATGAGGAAGTTTTGACTTTTTTTTTCTTTTTTTTGAGACAGAGTCTTGTTCTGTCACCTGGGCTAGAGTGCCCTGGTGT